CTTGTCTGACATCAATTTCTCAGTTGTCTTTAAATATTTCTAAGGCTTTTAGACTTCAGTTAAAAACATTTTCTTTGTTTCTTGAACTCAAGGTTTCAACTCCCCTATTATAAATTTATTGATCTGTCTCTCCCCACCATCCCAACACGCAATAGGAGTGATCTCGTAATCTGTAGAAAGCTTGAGCGAAGACGTTTCTTTGGCACGAACGGCGACCGGTAGGCAAATGAAACTTTTGTCGAGATTAAAAAATCCATGTTACAGGAAAAAAAATCCAAGAACTTTATGCATAATGAAGTATCGGTGATAAATAGATTTCCTTTCCGGGGCATTTCGTAAAAGACTATGCCAAACTAGTATGATGATTATATGACGACTCCGTAATCATTCAAAACTTCCTGCAGGTTTTGAGCTTGCAATAAAATATATTAAAACTGCTTTACCATGTAATCTGGGATGTATCACAAAACCATAGAGTTAGGAATGTTATTAGCATGCAGCCTCTCCTCAACATTTGAATTAATTGAACACTAGCCTGAGGTGATGCAATAAGGCGAGTTTCTTGGGAGGGGGTTTATACCTCGATATAACTTTGAATTCGCTTTACTTATAACAAAGATATACGCAACATCAAGAGGGGAGGGTCTCTAATCAGATCATAAACGCTTCAGGGCTAAAAACATCGCCTATAAAATTGTTTTAAGGCTGTCCTTATTTCGCCATCTCGCCAACTGTAAAATAACGGATTTAGCGACGAGTTGAGAAAAACCAATGTCATTGTTGTAATATAAACATTTGACGCGGCATATCCTCTGTTGAAAAAAATCAGTTGATGGTAAACTGCAAAAGGCATATAACAGCTCAAAAGCAAGATATATAGGAGAAATATGTTCACAGCAGATCTCACAAATCTTTTTACGCGCAATATGTTTTCGTTGTTCGCATCTTGTTGCTGTAATTGCAGCTGTCGCTGAATTTGCCTTTGATGGCGCAGAACAATCAGGTAGATTTTCAAATGAACAGCAAAATTTCCAATTAGAATGCACATAATAACAATGCTGATCATTTTGAAAACCAAGTAGAAATTCAATAACCAAAAAACTGAAAAAAGAGCTGCGTAAATCCAAATGATAATTACTACCACAGTGGCACGAAACGGTGTAACTTCTGCTTCATATCTCAAATGCAGTTGAACGGCAAGCAAACGGTCCACGGCTATTGCTGTAACGGAATAGAAAGACACTGTACAAGACACGCTTCCCAAAATATTGAAGTAGAGTAAACCATCAGTCGTTGCTAAGTTTTCCAAATGAGCTACAAAAATAGGTTGGACAACCAAACCAATACTTAGGTCTGATACAGCGAGACTTGATAATAAAATATTCGACACTGAATGCAACGAAGATGTCTTCCAAATGGTCAGTAGAATGCTCGAGTTTCCAAGCACCGCTGTACAGCAGAAAAAAAGATTTATATAACGTATGACGATCATGTAATTTTCTGAAAACTCTTGCACAGAAATTCCTTCATCTTGTAAAGCGTTTTTTGTTGTTGTGTTATTAAACACCACTGCATTTTTTGAACTGTTCATTGCAACTCAGAGTATTTTACTGAAATATGAAGGTACGCCTATGATTTCTGCCTTAGATCCAATATTCCCTCCGACTGAAATTCATTTATTATTTATATCATTGACTCTGGCAATGTCAACAAGGATCAGTGATGTATTGATTAACCTTTTTGATCCGTACGCTCGATTTTAATAGGTTTTTTCTCGAACAATCTGGCATGCCTTTGAGCTGTGATCTGATTGACTGAGATGTGAGATAGCATAGCAAATGTTCTCTTGCTAAATATAGGTTATCATAACAACCCTTGATGTTCATGTGAAATGAAAATACGATATCCATTTATAATAATGAATAAAGAGGCTTTTGATGCACATATTTTAAAAATATACCCAAGTATTTAATTTTCATTCAAATGAAGGCATTTCATATATCTTGCGTGATTAGACCGCTGAAAATATACGATCAGGTATTTCGACCACTTTCCCGACGTCAAAATCCGTAACGAGTGTAGAGAGAAATGAGTTCCCTACCGTCTTAATATGAAACCGTTTTAATTATACTTAAAAGTACATCATCCATAGTAAAGCTTGCATCCATAAGGGCTATAAACTCAACAAACCGTTAAAACTACGCAATGCCCATGAGAATTTATTTTTTTTTTAATTGTAAAAATCCTGCTTGATTAGGCTTAATAGTAAACCTTTAAGTGGTGAAAAAATCCATGATTATGTTAGAAAACTTTTCTCGCTTGTCTCGTGATTACCAATAGGTCACTTACCGGTTGGTCCTATTCAGGCGATTAGGTCGAGTAGCTACGCATGCATGATGTCCGATGTGATTGGCAGATTTCAAATGGCTGTTGTAGTGGATTTGTGGCTACTACTTCCTATAAGAGGCGAAGCAACATATGTCGTCGAGATGAGTGGGTGAGTTTAAGATTAGAATTCTGATCTGCAAGACCCAATTTGACCCGATGTTTCCCGGTCCTAATTATCGTTTTCTCTTTTTTAGTAGTTCGACATTCGCACTCGATACACATTTTTCTAGTTCTCTCCATTTGCGATTCCTGGCTTATAGCCACTAGCACATTATGTTTTCAGACCTTGCTGTTATACTACGGAAGACAACAGAAGACGATAAACATCTCACAACCATTTCCGGATTGCGCGCGATTAATAATTAACATCTTAATATGTGTAATCAGCCCATCATAAAAGCTTTGAGAAAAAACAATTCTGTCTTGAAAGAGAGAATTTTATTGATTGAATCAGCGACTTAAGCCGAAAAGAGCCGCTAAATTTGCGAAGCGAGCAAGTACCCTAATTATTTAACAGAATAATTGAACGGAGGTACGGTGGATCGGCGGAAGGGCGGAATATCTTAAGACACGAGTAGCTATAGCCGGGCACAATTCAAGTCCGAGCAGCCAAGGAGGAACAAAAGCGCCTTCTCGTTTCGCTCCATGAGAACACCTTCTAACAACCGGAAAAATAAAGAGGATCGAAATGCACCACTAGCAGCGTACCAACGTGCTACATGGCATGGTAAACACATCGCCTGATGAAGACTAGCAGTATTGCAGTTGAAACGTTGCGATCAACGTCAAAAAGTGACTATCGTGAGACAAACGAACAAAGTTCATCAAAGTTCAGTTCTTACACCACGATGAACAACAAACACATATTTTATTAAATTTTTAAAAAACTGCTCGAGCTTCAAAGTCCATATTTGGGCAAAAAATTGCATCTTTGCTCTGATTGATTAGCTAATGAAAACCTCAGCTTGTTTGCAACATAGGGGAACTTCCTGCTAAGCTCTGCAGTTTTCCTGCGGGTCAAATTACATGCACGACCAAAGCCTGCCTCCCGATTTTCCGCTTATGGGAAAGACTTGACAAAACATCAAGTAATGAGAGAACGAAAAGGCTTGGACGATTTGAGATTCCACAATTAAGGTAGAATTATTCAAAAATTAAAAAAATGCAATAAACGGAACTTCTCAAACTTGTTTTGGTTGATATCCTGAAAAAAATATTGGTTAAGATCTTATTTGTCGTCAGAGGGCTGAAAAACAATTCGTCATTGCTGGATTCCTTCTTCCGCTATGGTGAAGCAAAACCTGGGTTCGGTTACGCAAATTTTGCAAAACAGATCGCGGATTATTTCTGCCTGGTATTCTATAGAAGGAAATCCTCTATAAATTCGTTAGTAATATCAGAAGCAGGTAAATGTTACAATCCAACATGAAGACAATGCATGTTTTGTGTTTCCTGATTAGCGTTTTTTTAGCAGATGTAAAGTTTCACCGCCTCAACCATTAGCATGCCAAACTCCCCGCAGGAAATTTATCTGTCCCTAGCTTACATGATGTCTAATTCGCCGAAATTGAACCACCGCAAACAGGAGAAAATTAAAAAGGAAAAAACGCTCACATTCTTGTAAAATGTCAAACGCTATCTTTTTTTAACATCCTTGAACTACGTAGACGTCTTTCGCAATTTATCCTCTTCTTATTTTTCACTTAGGTCATCATGTTTCAGGTATTTCGACTACTTTCCTGCCGTCAAAATCCGTAGCAAGTGTAGATAGAAATGTGATCCCTACCTGCTTAATAGGGAACAGCCTAAATTATGCTTAAAAACTACATCATCCATAGTAAAGCTTGCATCCACAAATACGGATAAACTCGACGTGATTGGCTTCTGTATATTTCCTATAAGAGGCAAAGCTACATCATCGTCGAGATGAGGGAGAGAGTGTAATAATAGAATGTAATAATAGAATTCTGATCTTGACCCAATTTGACCCGATGTTTCCCGGTCCTACTTAAGGTTTTTTTCGGGGTATCGTAGTAGTTCGACATTCGCACTCGACATACAGTTTAGTTCTCTCCTTTTGTGATTTCTGGATTATAGGTTTGGCTTGTCTTGTAGGATAAAATCACAATAATACCTATGATATATCTCCCTTCCTTTATGAATTTTTTTTAAGCAAGGGATGAAACTGCATCCTACTTCGTTTAGCGAGACTTCTTGAAATTGCAACTTTCTGTTTAAGTTCAGCGTCAGAGGACATCACGATTTTCTTGCTCTTAAATTGCACGTCCTTTTATCTATTCCGCTCAACCTTGCTCTTCCTCTGAGACTACAATAAATATTTTGCAAGGTTGTTCTATTTGGCGATATGCCGGTTTTAGTTTTTTCCGACCTTTCCGGTACCGCCCCCTGTCTGCGTGTTACACACTGGCTACTAACCTAAACATCTTTATCTTAGTCGAGTTAATTTTGCCGTAATTTAAATGGCAGGTTTGAACAGCACGTAGTATTTCAGATATTTCGGTTAACAATCCTCGAATCAAATCGCGTGACCGAAGCCCTCATGTGTTCGAAGCCCGCAAACTCGTAGGAGCTTCATATGCCGAGGCCCATATGGACTCTTTGTAAAACTATAGTTTTTGTAAAACTACAGTCTTATCAGCTGGCTGTTTCTATCTTTGTGCATCAGTGAGTTTGAACACGACTTACTGCACGTTGAAGGAAGTTAGAGTGACAGGTGCTTGACATACGCTGACTGAGCATATCTTTTTGCTTCATTTAATGAGAGTATTTTAACGATCGGCGTTTTTACAACAGTCTTCCAATTCACAACTACTCATCATTCCTCCTTTAGGAGATCTAAGCCTTATATTAATTGAAACATTTTCTCGTTATTTTTCAGCTTTTTGCATAAACAGAGGAGTAAGAAATAGCCTATTTACTCGTTACCCTGTAAAAGATAGTTGCGCAAGGCATCACGTTTCACAAAAGCAGACTAACAGAGGAAGTTTCCCCGTATTGTCTGGGACTTAACCAACCTGAATAGCAAGATACAATCCTGTTTATAAAAGGAAATTTGGGGAATACTGCTTGATGTATTCAATAAAAAGCATATAACCTGATTAAGATTATAGCTTAAACAGTAATTCTTATTTCCTTTTCACATTTTCACAGCCTCTGTGTAATCGGCTGTAAGTCAGTTTTCACCGCTCGAACAAGCATAAACATATGTAAATCCATATGTAAGCAAAATTGCATCCATGCGTCTTCAGCTTCTTTGCAACAAAGGGGAATTTAGACACTTCTAAGTTGCATGCTCAGTGTACAAAACGTTTGACGACAAGAATATATTGCACCCAAAGAGCTGACACCAGAACATAACATAACAGATGTGCATCCAAACCGTTTCATTTCCCGTAAGACACTGAGACGGAATTTCCGAGAATTTGACAAAAATAATAATGTTCAGTCCGCTAGTTAATCAGCCTTTGTCAACTTGGCAATGGCCAGAGCACTTCAAAAGTGATTTTAAAGTCAAAACGTCACGCTATCCTATTTACTGAAATTTTCCAGCTTTTCCGCGGGTCATATCTTATGCACATGACCAGAAACTCTATCTTCCTTTCCGCTTCGCCGGTATTTAATCACTACGAACATAAAGCCCTGAGATCGAGTGTAACAAGGTTGGACGATTAGAGATTCCACATTAAAAGGTAGGTTTATGTAAGGAAGAAATAATGCTGCCATCGGATCTTCTTAAAAAATTTTCTGAAGAACCTACAGTGTGGACAACAATGGTGTAAATATTACTCGCCACTAAAGGGCTGTAAAACCTGCCTAACCTGTAACAATCGTTGGATTCCTTCTTAAGCTATCATGAAGCAAAACTTGAGTTCGGTTGCTCTAAATCTGCAAAGCATAACAATTACTCTTACATGGTATTCTACAAAAAAAAAAGACCCTTTCAAATTCGTAATCAGTACTGAAAGGAGACAGCTATCGTCCCGACAGGAAGAGAGTACCTGGTTAATATATTTTCAGATTGAATAACGCATTTTTGGGTAGACGTGAAGTGAAGTTTTGCTTCCGAAACCATAGCCATGCCAAATGGTTTACATCTTCCTCAGTGTTGTTGCCTCGCGTTAAATTTATGTGTCCCCTCTATTTTATTTAATCCGCTGAAATTTATTAACTGCAACAAAGGAA